TTTTGGTCAGCAAAAAAATATCTTTTTCTTTCTTTCTTTTGTAAAAAAGAACTTTTTCTTTCAGGTTGTGGATCAGATAGGAGGGGAAATGCTCAATGACTATATACTGAGTTTTCAACAAGAACGGCATGGTTCATTTTCCGGGGGATAGTAGAGAAAAGAAACATGGTCCACTTGGAACACATGAATGAATTTCACCGGAATTTATTGTAAGAGCTGTACATGCGTTTCAAAACTGACCGTATTATATAGCTTTTAGTTTGTTTGAAATTTGAATCATGACGAGTGTATGTAGTACAGTTATAGTAGGGCCTAGTTGCTAGGGGTGTTTGGTCGCGGGGACTAAACTTTAGTCTCTGTCACATCGGATGATTGGACACTAATTTGGAGTATCAAATATAGACTAATTATAAAACTAATTGTACAGTTTGAGACTAATTTGCGAGATGAATCTATTACGCCTAATTAGCCCATGATTTGATAAGGCCCCGTTCGCTTCGCTGAAAAAATAAACAAAAACACTCTTCCAGATGTTTTGTTGTGAGAGAAAAACACTGTTTTAAAAACAAACTAAAAAGTACGGATTATAAGATAAACAAACATGCCAATGTGGTGCTACTCCACTCTGCATAGTAGGGCCAAATCCAGTCCGTCACACGTTACAGGCTTCTTCAAGTTCTTCTGCCATTGCTGCTGGCTGCAGCAGTACAACTACACACGCTACTGCCCTATTGTCTTGTTCCTGTACTTGCATTTCAATACAGTCCGCCGTTGATTGCTAGAGGACCTGCTGCATGCATGAGGCTGGCCACTTTTAACAAGGGACAGGACAGGACCCGAGCACAGCAAAACAGTCGCTTAACGGATCACTGCTCGTGTCCATGTTCAGCACAAACCAGAAAAAAAAAGAAGGTACGGTGCTCAAACGAAACCAGTAGCCCGTCGACAACATTCTACAGGACGCGATGATTGGGTTGGTTGGTTTGGTTTGGAACGGCTTAGTTTGTCTGCCAGCCTCAGGGACAGAGTATCGGCATGGACTCACCACTCCTGCATACATCTTTCGTTCTTTGCCAGACAGCTACCGTTTCAGGTGGATGGACATGCTCCACTTTTAATAAAAAAGGGGAAGATATAAATGCCACTCCCCATTCTGTCTGATTCAAATTTGAAGTGATTTTAATTTCGATTTTTTTTCACACACACGTAGCTTCTACTATGCATTTAGATATGCACTATATCTAGATACATATAACATCTAAAAGAGTTAAAATACTCCCTCTGTTTCAAATTGTAAATCGCTATGACTTTTCTACGTATATAATTTTTACTACGTATCTAGACATGTATGAGCACCATGGATGGAGATTGCTATTGCTCAGGCACCATGATTGTCAAAGGGTATAACAATCAGCAGAGGTGCATGCATATATATACTTATCTGATCGTCAACAATAATTAGCCTGATCGTTTCGGCTGAAACGATCGTGGATTATAAGCCAGAAGTACTAATGGCTGGTTTGGTGTGAGAGAAAAATATTGTTCCAGCTTTATAATCCATGATCGTATACGGCGAAACGAACAGGTTGAATATGATAAAAACAATGTATGTCATGCTATGGGGTCGTTGAACTAGATTTCTCCTTGTTTGTGCAGCATTATCTATACCTAATATTAAAGGTAAAATTTCTCTTCACCTATTTTTTGCGTCCACCTTCCTCTACTACTAGGACAGTAGAGAGTTTCCTCTTTAGACTCGTACGATTTAGAATAACTCGCGTCTAGCGATGATGAGTACGGAGTCTAATTCTAATATATATTAAGTTGCGCCCAACGTATGTCGTATATGATCCGGACTCATGACCTGAGGCTCCCATATGAATTGGGCTCCGTTACAACGTACAGTCACATTTGCTAGTATTATATATAAATAAATAAAGTGTTACTCTTGTGTCGATACTAATTGAGTCGGATTGCGCCGCCGATGGACCCACCCATGACATGAGGGCGACACTACAGATAACAATAACCGTATCGTTGTCACAACCACTAAATAAAGCTTCTCTCAAGCGTCGTCTTCAGCGTCGTCGCTCTCAAAATCCAATACCGTATCTATACTATGTACATGGAGCTTGTCCTGACGCGCTGATTTTTTTAGAGGTGGCTCAATCTACGGCCGCGATAAAATGAGGACAAATATTGGCCCCGTTCGCTGGTCTAAAACTTGGCTGAAAAACATTGTTCCAACTGATTTGTTGTGAGAGAAAAACACTGTTTGGCTGGTTTGGTGAACAGTAAATTGAGAGGAGAAATCAGCCAGTTGGCTAGTCTGATAAGACCAGCGAACACAGCCATTATTGTACTTGTGTACGCATTATTAATGTCTCCTTAAGTGTTGTCGTAATCAGTCGTGCGTACGTGCCTTTTCTGTTGTCATTGCCCATCCAATCATGATCATGTCGAGTGGCAGTCCACACAGCTTCTCGTCGTTTTTGCACCACTGCCGCTCATGAATCCTGATCGAGATGTTGAAATGGACCCTGGACCTGGACCATGGACGACACACACACACAAAAAAAACACTCAAAAACACACCTCAGGACAGATGACAAGGACAACAATTAGTAAATTGACAGAAGAGCGACGTGGCTGATGAGAACTTGGAGAGTACATAATAAGTGCCAAGCAACAAGCTAGCTATATATTTTCTAATTAATCTAATAATATATACTTATTACGTATCATAATAATAATAAATAGCTACAAATATCAGTATGGGGAAAACATAATCACTAAAATATATATAAACTGACTTGTGGGCATGTGTTTGCAACTTGAACAAGAGAAACATTTAAGTCCGGACTGAAATCTATTAAGAAAACTAATACAGGATTATGCTTAGGGCTAGTTTATAGAGCTCCACTCCTAGCTTCTTCGGAGCGGATTCTGTAGATCCATGCCTAACACTTAAAATGTAGTTGAATTCTGGTGGGAAGCTGATGAGTTGTGAGCGAAAAAACCACTCCCCGCTACTCTCCATTCGATCACCACTAGAATCACTTCATAATCAATTATCACCTGTTCCCACACTAGAACACTCTTATTGGAGAAACAAGAAGTGAAGCTTAAGAATCAGAAAAGAAGCTCCCAAACTGGCCCTTAGCTTCACAGTATTCATTCCGTCCTAAAAAGAATGCACATCTCGCTCTCGATATGTCATAACTTTTAAAGTGCGACTAGGTTTATAAAAGATAGTATCAACATTTGTATTTCAAAACAAGTTTATTGTGAAAATATATTTCACAATTAATCAAATGATACTTATTACGTATCATAAACGTTACTACATTTTTGTATATACTTGGTCAATCTTAAAAGAAATGACTCATCAGAAAAGCGAGATATGTACTTTTTTTAGGCGGAGCAATGAAGTAAGTACGTACCACTATATGTTGAAACTTCTCCATTGATGTAAAGCGTTACTGTGAGCCGCGAACAGTAGTGCCGCTGTGCAATGACAACAACACCTGTAACAGCAAATTAGAACCGATCAGTGATGGATGGAATAATGAATTAATGATCAGTCCTGATGGCGAATGCATGCATGGTCAAGGGTCTATTTCAGGTTCAGATCCATGATTGCATTGTGGCTGTGCAGCAGGTGCATTACAACTACCCTTACTCCATCCAGCAGAGCAGAGCAGCTGCAGAGCACACACAACATAGTCCTGTTACTTCCGCTGATAGCTCGCTTGTCACAGTTACATGTAAACAGCAGCTACCTGGACTGCAAGATTTGGACGGCGCTGGCGGAGGAAACTGATGACACTGACAACCCAACTGGATACTACTACTACCTCCGGCGTCCTCTTCTAGCTTTACCATCTTCTATTTGAGGTTGTACTTTGATTTGGGGTCTTTTCATCATAGCGCTAGCAGGATTTGGTCATTAGGAGGTTGTTGTAGGATAAGATAAACTAGGTTCATAAACATGTTGAATCTAGAGTAACAACAAAATCCTTAACCAGATGCTTGTAGCTCCTTCAACGTTTTTTTTTATGAAACAAATAGGGCCGGGATAGAGCCTGCCCAAAGCCAGATTTAGCGTGGGGGCTGTGGGCGCTCAAGCTCCTCTACGTGCGGAGCTCCGTAGAGTTAACAGAGAGGGGAAGATGAGGAAAAGAGAGAGAGAGAGAGAGAGAGGACGAAGAAGAGGGGGAGGAAGAAAAAGGGAAATGAGCCCCATCGAAGGTCCATCTCTACATTCGCCGCGTTGTTGGTCTTGATAAAAATAGTGCCAAGTCGAGATTTGAACTCAAATGTGCATGGAATATGATTGTTTCTAAAATTTGTTGCGAGATTGACCATGCATACTTAGTAGAGAGCACTTGGAGAAGCGCTTTTATGAGAAAAAACGTGATCAGGACAAGCAGAGGTCTGATTCAACTACTGTGTTTTAGCATAAATAGGGAAGAAATAAATACGTACAGAAAAAAAAAACTCTAATCTAGTGCAATGTTTTGCTACTAGTTTTAGCTTATTTAAGCCATAAGCAACTCGTGAGCCGCCCTAATTAGGTGTCAAACTTGATGTGAAGGAAATGAAGGTATCAGTTTCTTTCACAGTGATAATTTGAGCATTAACTGTCCTCTAAAATAAGCAAAAAGCCACAAAAGCAAGCATTGGAACATTCCAATTCGTTAGCAAAAGTTCCCATCACTCTTTTCACAACGGTTACAAAGCCTAGGTAGTAGAGGCAGGACACAAACGAAGCAAAACAAAAAGGCATTTCCTTACCACTAAGCATGCTTAAATTAAGCTAACCACTCTTTTTTTTCTCTACATCATTACTACACTTCTTCCTCCCTGAGAAAATGAGAAGAAAAAAGAAGATGCAACTATGGACATGTCCTCCAACTCCAAAAAAAGGCACGCCGAAACGCTCATCTAGGCCGTCGGATGCGAGATCGACGGCGGAAACTAACTGGCAGCCGAAACGGCTAAAACTCCCTCGGGTCGACGAAGATGGAGGCGCCGGGCGGCGCCTTGGTCCAGTCGCCGAGCGCGCCGTCGCCGTACCCGTCGGCGAGGCGCTTGATGCACCAGAGGTCCTCGGCGCCGAGGCGTGGCCAGTGCGGCACGGCGTCACGGAGTGGGTCGCAGGCGGCGACCTCGGTGGCCACGACGCGCGCGCCCGCGCGGCGCGCCACGTTGTGCGCGTGGCGGCAGAGCGCGGTCGCCATCCGCGGCGCGTCCGGGCCGGCGCCGCCGAGGCCGTAGAGGAAGTGCATGCCGAAGGGCTCGAAGAGGTTGGGCACGGACGGGACGCGGAGGAGGAGCCAGCGGGAGAGCGCGCGGTCGGCGGCGCGCGTGGCGCGCGCGGCGGCGCGCCACAGCCGCGGCGCGCCCCGCACCTCGAGGCGGAACGCGTCCTTGCTGTTCCACACGCTGCCCACCGCCCACGACGGCGGCGGCGACGCCAGGAACGCCTCAGCGCCGCGCCACGGTTTGGACGACGCCGGGACCGCGAGGAACGTGCCGAGGGAGAGCGGGTTGGCGAGCACGGCGTCGATGTCGCGCGGGAAGAACTCGACGCCCGCGAAGCGCGCGCGGTAGAGGAGCTCGGCGTCGCGCGGCGGGATGCGGACGACGGCGACCCGGCGCGGCCGGGCGAGGTCGTGGCGGAACACCGGGTGCACGAGCACGGACGGGGTGCGGAACTTGGCGTAGCCGCAGCGGGAGGTGAAGAGGTGCACCGACGGCTCGTTGTCGCGGTCCGTGGCGACGTAGGCGTACTCGGCGCCCGCCTGCCGGAACCACTCCTCCATCCGCGCCACCAGCGCGCGGCCGATGCCGCGGCGCCGGTGCGCCGGGGACACGCGGAGGCCCAGCAGGTAGGCCACCTTGGAGAAGAGGTCCTCCTGCCCGCGCCCGCACGCCACCGTCTTGACGCAGCCGCGCACCACGCCGATCACCTCCCCGCCCGCACCTGCCTCCGCGACCTGTGTGGCAGGGAAGGCATTCGCACTTGAGCGATGGATCGAGGAGCTAGCGATGGCTGACTGATGCGAGCAGCTATATGGCGGGCGGCGGGCGGGACGTACGAGCATGAGGAAGGCCGGGGAGTGGCGGACGCGGCAGAGCGGATCACCGAGGAGGTCGGTGAAGAGGCAGAGCTTGCCGGCGCTGGGGCCGACCTCGCAGGCGCCCTCGAGCCGCTCCACGGCGGCGCGGTCGCGGTCGCTGGCGCCGTCGAACTCGCGCACCGTCACCTGCCGGCCGCCGTCCTCCTCCACTGCCGCCACCACCACCACCATGGAAACGGGCGCGCAATTGCTTCTACCTGGCCTATGACCTGCCACGTTACGAGCTCGCTAGCCAGGTGCTCTCTCTGTCACTCGTGTATGTGGAGTCTGGCGGCGGGTCGGCGGGCGGGCGGTTCAGCTCCTCTCCTCCGGACGGAGCGGGGGTAGTGGAGGGAGTGGCAGGTCGAGGAGGAACCGAGCCGGAGCAGCTGGAAAAAACTGACGAGGTTGGATTGGAACAGAGAGGCGCGGGAGAGGAGAGGCCGTTGCTTGATGGAGACGAGGCTAGTAGTGCCTAGCTGAAGTGGGGGTCGTGCCGTAGCCCGTAGCTACGTCGGAGGAGTAGTAGGATGGGCCGGCCTGCGCTGCGCACGGCGGCGCACCCCTGCAGTGCAGTGCAGCTGCTTGCTACGTTCCACTCAAAAAACAAAAAAACACAGAAAGAAAGAAAGAAAGAAAAGCTGCTTGCTACGCGTACTTGGGGTGGGGCAGCGCACAACCTCGAAGTGGGCCCCACAGGGAGTGGTCACCCGGGCCCACCGTCCCCGCTTGTGCTTTCTCTTCCTCCGGTTCTTCCTCCACATTCCATTTGAGTTGCATACTTGGCTTTTCTTTTTTGGTAATATACACAACGACTCTTAAATAGGTAGTATATATATACTCATATCACAGAAATATAAGGCTGCTCTACTTGCATTTGAGGAGTAGCAACTACTACTAAAATGCTTTGCCCTATATTTTTTCACTGCTATAAAATACTCCTAGTTGGCAGTTGAGCAGTAGCAATGTAGTAATGCATGTTCTCTCTTTTTAGTTGGCAATTGTTCTACCGCACCATATGCTAGAAAATAAATTCCGCAAACCACATAGGATATACATTGTGACTCTGGTGCAAAATGTAGCACATGCTAAATGTATCATACGAACTTTAGCATGATACTTGTATATGTTACCAAAATTATGGAAACATTAATAGAGTAGTTTTGAGTTAAATACTTTACCGAAAAGGTAAGCAGTGCATTTATATAACTATACTATAAGTTGTACAAGGGCCGAGTCAGCCCGGTAGATCGACACAAAGCACGGATCACTGTGCTCGAGCCACCTTGACCCAGCAACTAGTGTTGTGCTTGGGCCATTAAACAAAGGTCTGCCTCGTGCTAGCTCGATAACCCATCACATGTATAAACCACCATCTATCCCTAAAACCCTATATGACTTGCTCATTTCTTCCCTACCCATGCCCTTAGCGTCAGCAACCGTCGATCGATGCCTATAACTACCCTCGATATATCATCTCGAGTCCCTTCCTGTGGGGGATATGACCCCCGGTATCCATAAGACAAGACATGGACCGCACCATTAGAGGTGGCCCAGCCCACAAGATTAAAACGTGCACGGCACAGGTCGACGTGCACCGTAAAATATTGTATAGTACCAAATAGAATAATTTCCTTATAACCCTACCCCTCCAGAGTATATAAGGAGAGGCAGGGGTCCCCTAGTCGACATCTACATACATCTCAATGCAATACATCAGAACACAGGATGTAGGTATTACGTCATACTGACGGCCGAACATGTCTAAATCTTATGTCTCGATGCTTGTATTACCATCTAGTTCGTATCACGCGCACCCCCACCGATTTATCCACTACCATGGGTATACCCCTCGGTAGACTGCCGACCATATTTCGTCGACAGTGCCGCCCACCGTGGGGCGTGTGTGTGCTAATCCATGGGGAATCAGATCGCGTACCTCAAGACCAACGTCGTTTGCGGCAACTCATCTTGCTGCGACGGCCTCCTTCAACAACATCTACGACGAATCGGCGGCGGTGTTCAACATCATGCGCGACAGCCGTCATCAAATCCATCTACAAGTCGGAGCTTGACTGGTGGTCGACGAATTCATCGCACCTGCAAGATGACGTCGGCATACAAGAATCATGCGTGATCTACTACATGCAAGATGATAAGTGGAACGGATCTTCATCGTCGACTTGACGGATCTCCATCATCGACCAGCACGACGCTACACTCATTGCCTCTCCGACGACACTCTCCGACAGCCTGGGCCCATCGCCGCAAGCCCAGATTGGATCAGAAGCTCGATATCACTAGTAGAGAAACGACTTTTGATCCACTTGAAAATTTGGCTTTAGTTCCGGTATTTTTCGCGTCCGGGACTAGAGAGACCTTTAGTCCCGGTTGGTAGCTCCAACCGGGACTAAAGGTCCCTGCCCAACGGCTACTGCGGCAGGCTTTTGCTGCAGGGGACCTTTAGTCTCGGTTGGAGCTACCAACCAGGACTAAAGGTTAACTTTTACTCCCGATTGGTCCCTCCAACCGGGAGTAAAAGTCTACTCCCGGCTGGAGGCTCCATCCGGGACTAGAAAGGGACCTTTAGTCCTGGTTTCTGTCTTCAACTGGGACTAAAGGTCCCCTCTTATATACCCCTTATTTCTCCCTGAGCCCGAGCCACTTCGACCTCAGTGTTCTTGCTTCATCGTCGGCCTCTCTTCTTCCTCATCGCCGGTAATCACAAGATTTTCTTCGATTCCTCCATCGATTCTTCGGTTGTAAAGGTTACCAACTTTATACTCTCATGTTTCATCAGTAGCATATCTCATTTTGTGGACTAAATATATGTGGTTTTTTATGGTGGAATTTTTTTATTTGTAAGCCATTTAAGCTCAAAATCACTTTAAAGTTTGCATATTTGGATGAAGGAAGGTTAAAGTAGTTATTTAAAACTAGTATTCAGCTTTCATTTCTAGCATGCATAGCACACTTCATGGTTTAGAGATATAGAGAATTTTAGAGTTTTTTAATTTTATTTGTTTATAAAATAAGAAATTTATATTATATTAAAAATGAGTATAGAGAGTAGATGGCAACTGCTTCTGGGTCCTCAGCCTCTCATCGGGTTCCAAAGCGACTGAGGCCGGACCTCTCTCTCATTGCATGCGGCAAGTGTGAGGAGAAGATTGTGATGGAGTACCGGGTGAGGAAGGAGTGTCCCAACAAGGATCGTATCTTCTACAAGTGTCCAGATCGTAATGTGATTTATTTTGTCGCATTTGATGATTATGGTTAATTTATACTTATTTTCATGATGATTGTGATTAAAGTTCTAATTTTTTGTTTTAATTTCAGTGGGATGGCACTGGATGTTCAGGCTGGTACTGGGAGGAAGAGTATGTTGAACACGTGCAAAACTCTCTTGCACAGGCGGCTACGGCGGCTGATGAGGCAGTGATCCCGCGAAAGAAGCCCATAGATGTTGAACATACGCATGATCTGTCTGTTTTAGTTGAGATTGGTCGCGAAATCCTTATGCTGTTGAAGTGCATTTTAGCTTTAGTTTTTTAGTGGTAGTCAATGTTTTCCTAAATGGTAAACGGTCTTTACACGGTCGCCCTTCGTTTAGCGTTTAGGTTGTTTATACGGTGTTTAAACAAAGTTAAACGGTCTAAACGGTTTTATACTTTTTTTAAAAATACATATAATTATATATGTGCATGTAAAAAATCAAGTATTCTACCATTTATACATATTTATCCGAGTAAAAATCAATTATTTTGGTATGTATATATATTTATGCATGTGAAAAGAACCAAATATAGATATTTATGCATGTAACATATCAAGTGTACACATTTATAAATATAATAAACTTAAGTATATAAATTTATCCATACAAAACTGAACTAGATTTACCTCGTGTTCGCCTAAACTGCCGTTTAAATAGTTGTTTAGCCCGTTTAATGCTGTTTATCTCCGTTCCGTTTAGGGTGTTTAGGCCGTTTTTCTCGTTTTTTGACCGTTTAAACGGTCAACCGTTTAATTTCCGTTTACCCCGTAAATAAAACAGTTTACCACCGTTTACCGTTTACTGACCGTTTAAACGACCGTTTAATCCGTTTAGGCGAACACTGGTGGTAGTTGGGATTGTCTACATTGTAGCGAGACTTTCATAAATTAATACCTTGTGTGATGGCACGCATGTCATATAATTAACTAATTATGTTCTAGGTTTTAATATGTTATGTATGTCATGTAATACAGATGAGCCGACATTAGATGTACATTGCTGATCGCCGCTCCCAAGAGTTCATTGAGGGCGTGCATTCTTTCTTACGTGTGGCCGAGGCAAACAAACGCGATGGTTTCATGTGCTGCCCATGTGCCATATGTAAGAATTTGAAGGAATATGCTAGCTCAAGGAGTCTTCATTCACACTTGTTGAAGTCGGGTTTTATGCCAAACTATATTTGTTGGACGAAGTACGGAGAAACCGGGGTTGTAATGGAAGAAGGTGAATAAGAACAATAGGATGATGATGACATAATTGCTGAATATGGTGCCTTCAATGATACTGCAATGGGGGAAGCTGAAGAAGAGGTAGGGGCAGAAGATGAGTCCGCTGATGATCTTGGTCAGGCCATTCGTGACGCACAAAGAGAATACAAAAGTGAAAAGGAGAAGATCAAGTTCGAGCGCATGCTAGAGGATCACAAAAAATTGCTATACCTAACTTGTGATGCGGGGCAGAAAAGGTTGGGTACCACACTGGAATTGCTGCAATGGAAGGTAAAGAATGGTGTATCTGACAAGGGATTTGGGGAGTTACTGAAAATCCAAACGAAGATGCTTCCGAAGGATAACGAATTGCCCGCCACTACGTACGAAGCAAAACAGGTAGTCTGCCCTTTGGGATTAGAAATCCAGAAGATACATGCATGTCCTAATGACTACATCCTCTACTGTGGCGAGGAGTACGAGAAGTTAGATGCATGCCCGGTATGTCATGCATCGCGGTATAAGATCAGGCGAGATGACCCTGGTGATGTTGAGGGTGAACGTCCCACGAAGAAAATCCATGCCAAGATTATGTGGTATGCTCCTATAATACCACGCTTGAAACGTCTGTTCAGAAACAAAGACCATGCAAAGTTGTTGCGATGGCATAAAGAAGACCGTAAGGTAGACAATATGTTGAGACACCC